TATGTCACCCTGTATCCTGCTTCCTTGAGGCCATAGAAGATGGAGACGGGGGACACAGAGGAGGAAGATGCCTGTGGGCAGAGCAGAGGTTAATGCTCCTGATGGACAGTCAGGATCAGAAACGGAGATGAGGGGTCCTGTAGCCCACCCGTAGAGCCAGAGATAGGGAACGTGACCCCTTGACCTTGGAGAACTGACTAGAGGTAGAAAGTTGGAATAACTATGCAGAAGCTGTGGTAGAAGCCATCTGGGAGAGACCTTCCCCAGGTAGAGTGCGCCATCGGGAGGTGAGCAAGACCAGCAAGCGAGAGGCATGAATGGACAGGAGGGTGGCTCGGCTCCAGAATGCTGTCGGCGTCACCAGGCCCAGGGGCTGCACAAGGAGGCTCTGAGAGAGTCAGCAGGACGGTCAGTGGGGTGACAAAGGGGTAGAGGGGCCAGGGTGTTTGCACTGGATGTGCTAGAATCTCGCACTTCTACCCCGGAGCAGCAGCTCAGAGGACTTCAAGGGAGGGCACTAGGTGAGGAGGATAAGGAATGTCAGACGTGTGGATGACATCGGCACAGGACAGGTGACAGGGTGTGTATTTGGGTGATGGTCATAAATGACATAATGAGGCCAAGGTCAGAATCCTCAGCCCTAAATCTCCCGTAAATGTCTAACAGCCTGGATTGTGCCTACGGGTCCGGAAAGGAACTGCTCTGTGTCTGGAATCTGAAAGGTCTTGGTGAGCAGCCTGAGGGAGCCCTGAGACTCATATGGTTCATAAGTTACCCCGTTCCCAGCACACTTGGGAAACAGTCAGGCTTAGACACAACAGCTTGAGGTCAGACGAGGTCAGGCTAGCCAGGGATGGGAGGCCCAGCCACTCTTTCGGAACTGCATGTGGCCACAGCATGTTCTGGAACCGCAGACTGTGGAACCGCATCCTCCAAAGCTCGTCCCCGCTGTAGTCCCAGTGTGCTGTTTACAAGAGCTGGGGAAATGCCTTAGAGAAACCTAAAACAGCTGGGTCCAGAGGGTCTAACGGCCTCCATAGTACGGTTGCCTTTACTGGAGGCTGAACCAAATGACCAGGGTGTGCTCGGCTGGGGCCTTCATCTAGTTTTATGTTTGTTTTTGATCAAAGTCAATGACTAGGAACAAACAGCTAGACTTTCCATGGTCTGGGATGTACTCCTGTTCTTAGGAATATATGGGTTCAGTGTGTGTGTGTGTGTGTGTGTGTGTGTGTGTGAGAGAGAGAGAGAGAGAGAGAGAGAGAGAGAGAGAGAGAGAAATCAGAAACTCACTTTAGCTCTTCTTGGCAGTCAGAATTATAAGCATGGCAGATCACCTAGTGGTGTTAGCTTATCCAGCCAGCACCAGAGAGAAATCACAGCAAACCCCACACAGGCCTAAGAGTTCGCTGAAACACACTTGGACTCCATCCTCTGTGTGAACATTTCTGAACTCACTGAATTTTTCGAGCATTTACCAAAGCACAGTAGGCACCCGGATAGACAGCCTGCTTTATCCTGCACTCCAGCACTGTGGAAGCTTAAAATTATCACAGTAAAAACATTTTGCTTTCTTTCTCTCTTAAATATATGGATAATTACTTTACTTCTCCCTTTCTTTATATGGACGCAAAACACCCAGAAAAGCACCTTTGTTAAACTATGCAAATTACCTAAGACCCAATATATGTGTATATTTAGAGCACTCAAGTCCAGTGAGTGACTTGGACAATGACTCGGTTGAATAAGGGACATTAATTTAAAATGAAACAATTTCAATCTTTTTGTACAGGTAAGAGTGTGATGTTTGTTGTTGTTAAAAGACAAACCAGTTTCTTCAAAAGTGTGCACTTGCAGCCCTGAGTTCCTATAGCTGGCTCCGCCCAGCTTCCCACAGCACAACGCGCCCACACGGCATCCAGATGGTTGCCTGTCTCTCTTCCATGTGGCGAATTGCACGCAGTTTTGGACACATCTCAAGGGCAGTATTGTGTGGGGCAGGGGAGAGGGCACAGTGGGCCAGAACACTTGCTCCATGAACAACTCGATGAGCCGAGGCATCTAGATCTCCAGGTTGGCGCCTGTGGCCCCGGCACTAGGGAAGGGGACCCGAGACAGGAGAGCTGCTGAGACCTGCTGGCCAGGCCTTCTAGCGGGGACACAGGAAGCTCATGCTCGAGTGAGAGACCCTGTCTTCAGGGAATGAGAGTGACAGAGCAGGATGTGTCCTCCTCTGGCCTCTGATTGCACACACATGCACATGTACATACAAAGGACAGACGTGATGGCATGTTCTCTTCTTATTCATAGACATGATTGAGTCCCCTCCCCCCAACTGAACCACCAGTTTTTAAGCCCTTCAGCTTAGTGCTGTGGACTCAGACACCGGCTCCTCTGGCCAGGGCTGGGTGCCCCAGGGCTTGGGGGCTTCTGCAGCTTCCCAGCGAATCTGCGCTTATCTGTTCATCCAGTCTGACGATGGAGGGAGGATGGGTGTCGTTGCTATAGCAACCCTCACATGCCACTGCACTGCTTGTAAGACATAGGATGCTCATCTAAAAATACACTCCGCCCCGTTGGCTGCTGAAGGGGCTAATTTTCAAGTTCACAAGGGCACAGAGTCTGCCTTCTTAGTGCCTGTTTGTCTTCCCAACAGATGAGACGCCTGTTTGCTCAGTCAACATCCCCTCACCTAACAACTAGAATCAGGGTCTCGGTCACTTTAGCCTCGAGTGACCTGAACAGCTGAGGCAGCTAGGTCAGGCTGCTGCTGAGAACAAAACAGTAATTAATTCACAATAGCCTTGTGTTTACAGACAAGCTGCAGAGACAGCATCAAGTCTGCACAGAACCAGAGTCCAGCCCCCAATACTCATCTTTCATAACCAGGGGAAGTTGGCTGCTATCAGGACTGTGGATCACAAAGGGCAGATGCCCTGGGATTTCCCCAGTTTACCATAAGCCTCCATTTCCTGCTCTGAGATCCTGTGTTGGGTGCCACCCTGCACTTGGCATCCATGTCTGTGTAGTTAATACTGGGATGGTCACCTCCTCGCCATGCCCCCTCCCCCATCCGTCTGGATCCTGTGATTATCCAGTATCCAGGCATTCCTGAAGAGAAGACGGCTGCTCTGCCCGGTCCCCGAGTCTTCTGCAAAGGCAGTCCAGGCTATGCACCCAGAATCCTTAGCTTCTCAGTTGTCTGGGACACCGCTTCTGGTGCAGCTGTTTGCAGAGAGAAAGGGACAGAGCCACTTCTGTTGGCCAGTTCCCGGATGTATCAGCCTCAGTCTCCACAGTTATCAGTTCTAGAATTCTGACTCTCCTGCCCGGGGGCCCTCCATCTAGAACGTCTCTACACTGGGTCCTCCATGTTGGACCTTTCTACCCAAGATCCTTCATTCTGGGGACCCCATCCTGTGTCATGGCATTCTTTACCCTGGGTCCTCAGTCTTATTGTCCTCCAACCTGGCCCATTATGGGAAATCAAGCAGGATTTCTAGGGACAGTGCTGGTAGGATTCAGACATTATGCTGGCCCCTGTCGCCTGGCAGGATGCACCCAGGGTCCTATGACTGCTACATCACTACTTAGTCTATATGCAGGTGCAAAGGTCCCTTTAAGAGACAAGCTCCACCTATTCCCCCTCCCATTTCTCTGAGGAGGCAGGTCCCTATCTCTCTGTCTCTCTCTCCCTTCCCTTTCCCAATATACTTCCTTCCAGTGTAAGCTCTGTCTAAAGACATGATCCCCCCCACCACCATGGAATCCATGGTCCCACCTCCCGCTGGCATGTCGTTACACATGCAGGGGCTGAGGGCCATCTTGGTGCAGAGGGAGGTTGTGTGAGTAGGAGCTGACACAGCCATCTGGGGTGCGGACAGACTATAGAAAGTCACCAGGACCTGTCAATTCCTCATCGATTCCCTCCCTGGTGCATCTGCCACTCAGCCATGTTATGTAATGGGATTCTTGCAGCTCTTATCCAGATCTATCAAAAATGCCCTGTCCAACTCAGGGAGCAAAAGTGACCTTGTTCAGAAGCAGAGAAGCATCGGGCTGTGCGAGTTTTGAGTTTGCCGTAACCAATAAAAATTACCATAGACCGGGGAGTATGATACACATGGTTCTCTCACTGTTCCCTCTGCCAGACTCTTATGCTCAGGAGGTCTCAGGAATGCACACATGCACATTGTTGTGTGCCGATTTAAAATGGGAAAAAAACCAAGACTGCTGAGGACATTAAAAAGATAGAAGTCATACTAAGTGTGGTGGCCCATGCCTTTAATCCCAGCAATTGGGAGGCAGAGGCAGACAGAACTCTGTGAGTTTGAGGCCAGCCTGGTCTACAGAGTGAGGTCCAGGACAGCCAGGATTGTTTTACTGAGTAACCCTGTCAATAGTAATAATAATGATAATAATAATAATAATAAAAGTCACAGAACTAGTAATAAAAGTTTGGGAACTTTCAAGTGGCACTGACTTTGCTCCTAAACACTGTTAGGCTGCTACTGTCCAAGTGTTGGCGGCACACCCTTGATAGGACAAATATGGGTTCCCACGAATATCACACACTACCCTTTGGTCCTGGGAACAGGTGAGGAATTCCACCTTGTCTTACATTGTGAGGGTGAAAAAAACCTCCATTTTATGCCAGGCATCCATCCTGGTACCCACCAGCCATTTGTCTTCGACTCCAGCCCCTGGAAGATAAGTTCCCAGTAATCCTGACTCAGTGGCCACCACCCAAAACTGTACAGCGTGACTACCTACTTGCTATAAGACTAATTGCTTTTTCGCTTCTGTAACTTGCTTATGCAGACACCCAAGGATTGTTTTGAGCTGCCTTAACCCCTTCACTTGGCAGACCAGACTGGGTTTTGCTGCCTTGCATAGATACGGGGTCTTCTCATGCCTTTCCATTCCTCCCTTAGCTCTCCTTCTCACGGCAATCTCAAATTTGGTGAAGAGATGGTTTATCCTGCCAGAAGCTAATCAATAAATCTTTTAATTATCATTGGGTTGAGTCTACGCAACAACACACACCGAACTCTTTCCTTTCTTTATCCTTAGAGAAGGCCAGCTCCCTCTGGCAGCTACTGCTGTGCAACCCATGCCCCCTCTCCTGTGCTGCCCACTACTGGAGGGCATCACCTAACTGTCAGCATAATTATGTGCTATTTTGTCTTTAAGAAGAAAAATACCCACATTTTTTTTTCAAGAAAGCTGGGAGTGACAAAGTCTCTCTATGTTCAGGATTAATTTAATGGACCATGTTGTATGTCTCTGTATGTTTGTGGGTGGCATATGTGTGTACATGCGTTTTTATGTATGTATTGATATCTGTGTACGAGTGCACACATGTGCATGTGGAGGCCAGAGGTCAACACTGTCTTAGTCACTCTCTATCTTATTTTTTGAGACAGAGTCTCAAAAATTCAGCTGGGTGAGTTAGCTAGCAAGTCCCAGAAATCCTCTATTCTGTCTCCCGGGACTAGGATTATATGGCAATGCCTGGCATTTTCTGTGGATACTGGGAGGCTGCGCTCAGACTTTCACACAGGCAAGTAATGTGCCGAGTCCTGTTTGACATCTTGAACAACATTTTCACTCTCGTCTCTTCTCCACAGCTCTGTACGGCGTCCTCTTTGAGGAGAAAAAAGAAGCTGCCTTTGCGAACTATCGCCTTGGGGAAGCCTTGGGGTTCGTCATCGCCTTTGGGTACAGCTCATTCCTGTGTGTGAGGACCAAGCTCTATATTCTCCTGAGCATCTTGAGCCTGACCATCACAGCTTACGGGGCTGTTGAGTACCTGGAATCCAGGGCTGCTAGCGAGGGCCCTCCTGCAGGAGAGGAAAACGAGGCAGGGAAAGAAGAAATGAAGACAGAGATATGAGTTCAGCCGAGCCATGGCCGGAACTTCAGCCCGGGTTGGCAGAGGTCTGCGTGGCGGCACTCAGTAGGTAGACATTTGCAAATTGTTTCTGCAATATCTGGACATTCTGGAGAGTATTTTTTTATGGATTTTTCTCAACTTGACAAATTTCCAGTCCATTTTTCTACTCGCAGAGATCAAGGGTATATATTCAATGGGCTGGGAATATAGCGTAGCACTGGGGTGCTTGCTTAGCATGCACAAGGCCATGTGTTCAGCCCCCACTACCACAAAAAGAAGGCAACACCTATGTACAGGGGCAGGGGAAATGGCTCTGCCTGTACAATACTTTCCAGGCCAAGCATGCGGACACCAGCTTGAACCACGACACCCGTTAAAAAACAAAGGCAGGGATCAGTAATGGCAATGCACACTTGCCATCGTGCATTCTAGCACTGGGGAGGCAGAGGCAGAGAGATCCATGGAGCTCATTGGCTCTTCAAGCTAGCCAGACCCTTGAACTCCAGGTTCAGTGAAAACCTTACTAAGGTTAACAGAAACTAGGGTCACCTAATGTCAACCTCTGGCCTATATACACTACACACACACACACACATCACATACTCACACACCAGCACCAAACACACACATACACACATCACATACACACACACCAGCACCAAACACACACACACACACACACCACAAAAGTATCTGTTATAGATATTAAATGAAACACATCAAAAATTTCCAGAATAGGTTTACCTTAGTTTTTGTTGTTGTGCTTAATAGTTGGGAGAACCATAAGTTTACAAACACCATAATTTTATAAATGGGTGAACATCTAATGCCACAAATTTTATAAATGAACACAAAAAGCCAACTGAACAAAGCTCACAGGGGTTAGCCACTCCGCAGTGTGTGCCTCTTGAAATTTCCTGGGGGCTTTTCTGAATAAAAATAGTTTATGCCTATGCCTCCTGCCTAAATATGTTTTCTAAACACTCACATGTATCTCTCTCTCTCTCACACACACACACACGCACCACGTGCATACACACGTACACACACATGTGCATACACACGTACACATGTGGGCTTGCCATGCCAGGACTGTGCATGTTAGAGGCCACTGGAAGGATTTCAGACGGGATGCTTGATGCTCAGTTATCACTGTCGTGAAGTCAGTCAAACATAATTCATGCATAGAGCCTGCCAGGCTCTCATGCTATGGTCATGGTGGAGTCAGACACAGCATGTGTGTTACCTGTGGGCACGTGTAGCCCTATAGTCGCCATCCGTGTTCATCATCTTGGTGACCTCTTTCCATTCTTCATCCTCTTGAGCAACTCTATCAGTGGCAGAGCTGCCATTTTTCCACCCACACTTTTTTCTCTGAGTCCTTTGTCATAGAATTCTGAGTCCCTGCACCATTGCCAAGACTCCTGTGTGGTTTTGACATGTCTTTCTTCTCTCTTTACCACAATGAGGGATTTTGACCATTTCTGAAGAAGTCGAACTTACGTAGAAGGCATTCAATGGGGGGGGGGCGGGTGAGGGCAAAGGACACTCGCGTTCCCTCCAGCTTGGAGGTTTAGGATTTTGTAGACAAGTCTTGCGTGTGAACAAGTGTGAGGTGAGCTTGATTCGGATCTACCCGTGAGAACTCTAGTTCCGAGAGGAGAGTAGGAAATGCGTGTGTGTAAACCCGAGGAGACCACAGAACAGTAGATCTGAATCATAAAGTCCTCTGGCATGGGTCTGAGATGGAGTCGCAAGCAGTGCTAATTTTATTTTATTTTTTAGGAAAGCCTGGGAGGAAGTAACACAGACATCACCTGGTTCATTGGGTGGTTTACTATCACACAACTCAGCTGTGTGGGTGGGCTAGCCTGGTTTAAGATGGTGGATCGTCCATATGTCACAGAACACAGTATTCCTTACAGAGTAAACTTTCTGTCTCCTTCCAATGAGCTCCCCTCTTCTCCAGCGAGCACCCTGACAGGCCACCAGGGACAGAGGTGGGGAAATTTAAAACATGAGCCAGGAGCTGCAAAAATTTGCCTGCACTACACAGAAGTGTACTGTAGTCAAAGGTGTTTCATGCATGCACGATCTCCAGTCCCCGAGTCACTGAGTGACATTCTGAGAACCACATCCTTAAGAGAAGCAAGTTGGGGACATTGACAGTGCACACATGCACACGGAGACATGGATCTCACACTCTGCTGATAGGAACCCCAGTGTCTGCTGTTCTTGCTTTGGAAAGCCTTCCTGTCTAGGGCCCCCATCTCTCTCTCTGTGTTCTCCTTCCCCCTCCCCACCATCTCCTACCCTGTCCTCTCTGAACCCAGTTTCACAGACCATGGCCCCTCTGAGACGTAAGCCTGCTTGCTCTTAGTCTATCTTCAGTGCAGGGAATGTAAAACAGGCTCACATGCCACACAGGACTGTAATCACTTGAACAAATTAGGAGGCTCATTCCTATACTTGACATGGATTTAATTAGCATTGTCTTAGACTCGGCCAGGAAAGCAGGGACAAAACCAGATTCCACTCTGGAGAAGCTTCTCTTTTACACACACAGTGTGAAGTGAATTAGAGGGCAACTGAGGCCACTAAGCAGTGGAACAGGGAAGACAACAAGAAGGGTCAACAGCAGGGTAAGAGACAGAAGGTCAGGAAGACCCTGAGGGCTGGCGTTCGTGAGTGCAGTGCCTAACCACAGGGGTAAAGGTAAGTGGTCAGGTTTGGGATGTACTTTCTAGATAGAGTCTGTAGGATATGATGTTGAGAAAAAGAGCCAAGAAAACCCCAGAAGGTTGACCTATTAAGGAACATACCTGTCCCTTCCTTACCTGGAAAGTGTCTGACTCATGATTAAGACACTAACGTCCGGGCACAGGGTGTGTCACTTCTTATGTGTTGCTGTCACTCTCTCTCTATACTTTTTATTTTTGGCCTAAACAGTATTGATAGAGAGTGAGGCTGGAATTCACAGGAGAGATGACTATGTTGGATGTTCCCATCACAGAGCACACACAGAAAGAGCCCAACTCTGCCTGGTGTGGTGGAGGAAGCGGCATTCTGGGGTCGGCATCCTTGGGCCTTGCTGGGTATTGAGGGTCAGGAAGAATGGGAGGAACCAGGAAAACATCAGGGAAAGAAAATCCGGGGCCTAGTGACTGACCAGGCTCTGACTGTGACTGCAGTTCTTGTGCTGCGGCATTTGGTTAGAGGAGGAATGAGGCTGATGGTTTGTACGAGCACAGGACGACTCCATGTGGATGATGGGACAGAAAGCATGGACTATCTGTTGTGCTGGAATGAGACATGAAAGCAATGACATTTTCTGAAACATCAAAGTCATCTCTGTCCCCAACAGTCTTCGACAAAGCCCACCATAGGCACAGCGCCTGCACCTTGGGAGAGATGGTAACTATAGAAAATGGACTTTTGTGTATCGTCCTCCAGACTTTGGGGCTGTTGAAGGACTTAAAACAGATGTAATCAATTAAAAGTTAAACACGGGAGAGAAACATATAATTAACATAGAACAGGCAGGCCTAAGGGGCTAAGGAGTTCTTATCTTTGGGGAGTACTGGGAAGGGGTCTTCGGCCCTGGTGGGGCTGAGCATTCTGTCTCTTGCACAGAAGAATTTAGTTCTATGAGTTCAGAAGACGATGCTAGGGATGGATTTGGGCCACAGTGGTGGGCACACCACGATCGTACTTCCTCCTTCCTTGCAGCCTAGGCAGAGGTGGCCCTAAACCTCCCATGGGACAAGTCAATGCTTCTCTGCTCAGGAGCCACAAGACCAGACTCAGGGTGGCGGTTACTGGGCTACCACATTCCTCCCAGCCTTCCAATGAGGTTTTGTGGGCACACAGCCCATGAGAGAACTGAGTCAGAATGAAACCCAGCAGGAATCAAAAGAGACCCAGCTCCCAGCCTGGCAGCCTGGGACTTGTGAAAATGTGGTGCCAGAAGATGTGTCTCGATGTCCAAGCGCTCTTGGTAATGGTCTAGGGTGGTGCCCCTCCCTCAGCTTGAGTGTTCAAGCACAAAGCGAACACAGCTTCCAGTAGCTTATCCTCTCAAATGGAGGGGAAAATTAAAAACTGTTGAATAAATTTAGGATTTCCAAGTCACTAAAATCGCTCAATCCAGGCCCACAAATTCCTTCCTCTGTTACCTCCTGGACCAGATACACTAATCCAAATAATATATGTCAAACCCAGACTCTTCTGTATGCTCATGAAAAGCACAAACTTAATTATACTTCATTTTTTGCAGAATTTACTGGCATCTAGAGCTGGAAGATAATGAATAATTAATAAGAATCAAGAAAGAAAAATGACTTGAGGGTTGCACACCGCCAGCCCTGGCTTGCTGTTTTGCCTGGTAGAGTTCAGCCAGCATCTTGGGTATGATCTACTGCATCTGAAATACATCAACAGTTAATCAACAGTCAGCAATGCCGGCAACTCGGTGGGCTGATTGCCCGCTGAGAAGGATTGCGACTCAGGGCAAACCATCAGATGAGTCCTCTGGCTCCCAGTGAGATTCGCAGCGTTGGCAGTGCCCAGGCTCTGGTCATGGACACTGGAAGGAGTAACAACAGCCTTCACTGAGGGAGGAGTGTGGTCGGGATCGCTGGAGATAGCAGAATAGTAACGATTTATTCTAGAAACACATCTGCTTTTGTGGATAAATACTACACTGTTTCCTAGTCCCCAGCACAAGGAGATCGCAGGAAGCCAAGTCCCACCTCCAGAGGAGGTTATAGCCTTGCTCATGGCAGGTGGGTCTCGGAGTCCCCAGACAGAGACATTGAAGTTCCCAGGGCACAAATGAGCCCGCCCCCCGGCACTCACCTGCTAGGATCCTGGCTGCCAGTCTTCTCTGAGGTAGGGAAGGTCTTCCCTTTGTGAGGACTGCAGACTGTGCATTGCTAAGCAACAAGCACTTCCGCCATCCTGCCCACGTCCACCTAGCGGTATAGGGGACAACACCCACTCTTGGCATCTGGACCCAACGAGAAGCCATTCCTGTACATTAGGTTGGGTATGGGGACAGATCAGCAGAACCTTCTGGAGAGGCAGAGGCTAGTCAGTGAGTACGCACTGGCCTGCACAATACCGCAGAACCCGAGAAGGGGCTTTAGTCAGAGAGGTAGACTGAGTCACCCAGGCTATGTACCTGCAAACATGCTTCAACCAGAAATATGCATTTCCAGGATGCCCTGGGTGCTGGCCGTGCAGAGCAAACGATATTAGAATTCACATCTGTGATAAAGAGGCCACGGGGGAGCGCGTCCCCACATGGTATCTCATGGGTAGAGGAGAGTCAACTGAGTTCAACTCGAACCCTTTGAACAGCCAGTGTTTCCAGGATGGGTGTTGATGTTGGGTGAGGGTTGAACAAGATGGCCTACTGGGGCATCTGGCCATTCCCTTTAGGTACATAGGAAGTGTCATGGGTTCTAATAGGGAAAAGGAGGTGCTCCTGAGAGGAAGGGGGAGTCCAAGGACTGTCCTCCTCAATGTCCCCATCCATCCCCTGATGGACTCAAAGTTTGAACAGAATATTGAGAAACTGAAGCTTAGGAGGCAGGGCCTAGCTGGAGGAAGCAGGTCTTTGAGAGACACAATTTGCCGTCCTTCTCCTGTCTGCTACTCTATGTTTCCTGGCCACCACGGGATGAGCAGTTTTGCCACGCACTCGCCCTGCTGGGATAGTCTGCCTCTTCTTTAACACAAGCGAGCCCATCAGCCGTGGACGGAAGCATTAGCAGTCTGCAGCTAACATCAACCTTCCCTCCTCTCACAGTGCCTCCCAGGGGTTTGTCACAGGACTGAAGAGGGATGCTGGAGTCCTGTGGCTCCGGTCTGTCCCCACTTGATGTCTAAATGGCTGAAGCTCACTGAGCTAAGCTGTGTTCACTATGATG